GACAGATGTACTCCTCTGACAGCTCTCAGTATCAGCCCAGTGGCTCCCTGCCATTGGCTCAGTGCAATGGACCGGCAACGCCGCTCACTATAATAACACTCATGCCTGCGAGCAGCAGCAACTCCGAGTGCGGACGCCGAGCGCGGGGGATGCTACCGCCGCTGCCGCTCGGGCGGCTCCCGCTGCCCGGCTCTGCTCGGCCGTCGCGCGTGCACTGACTCCCGCTTGGCTCGGTCCTGCCCGCCTGGGCCCTCCCAGCCTGGAATCCTCCCGCGAGCTTATAGCCCCAAGGCGAATTAGGAAACACTGAAAGAGATACTGAGAAAGAGAGAGAGGGAGAGAGCAGCAAAGATGCGGAGGCAGAGGAGCCTGGGTGCGCATCGCAGAGAGGTGTAGTGAGCCGGGCTCCCGAGGACGGTCAAGAGGCGGCGGTTTGCCCTGCTGGCGGGTCCCCAAACCACCCTCCTCGGGCTCTGGCGCGCTGCGGCTGCGGGCGCGGGTGCATGGAAGCGGCGGCTGCGGTGGAGGAGGCGGCGGCTGCCCCATGGAGTGTTACTACATTGTCATCAGCTCCACGCATCTCAGCAACGGACACTTTCGCAACATCAAGGGAGTTTTCCGGGGCCCTCTCAGCAAGAACGGGAACAAAACTCTGGTAATCGCTTCTGTTTTCTTCTCTCTAGAATAGCACTGTCTCTCTCTCCTCATCTTTCTGTCTCGGTTTCTTATCTGCCTAGTAGGACATTTTTGGAGGATGTACCTGGCTGAGGTTGCTGCGAGGTTTGGAGGTGTAGCTATCAAATTTTGGTTTACAATGTATTCATTTATTTATCTTGTGGGCGTGGGGTGAGAATTATGTGTAAAAAAAGCAATACTCTTAGGGAAGCTGTTATCCATGGCTTTGGTTGATACTTCAACAACGCTCCGGACTCTTCAACTCATTCCATGATACTGAAGGTTTGCCACAATCTTTACTCATTTGAAGCAGATTGTGTCAACAGAACTACTTAAATAAAGAAAAGAACTCTAATCCCAAGTGACCCTATAACATCCTTCGGTTTAGAATCCTAATCCCAAATGACCCTACAACATCTAAAGGTGAAGGATGTGGGTGTCTCTGATGGAGGCAGAGAGCCATGTGGCTGGAGTCAGAGGAACTGGCGGGATGCAGTGATTGTCTCATAAGGAGTTTCTATTCAGACTGTCTACTGAAAGACTCGAAACTAACTTCTCTAGTGAGAAGTTGTCAGTACTAAGTTTAAGAGAAGGATTCTGGAAGCCCATGTAGTTAACTTTCAGATATTCTCTCCAAAGACGTTGGGGATTAGTGTGAGGAGCAATCACTACAATTTTAGCCACTAGAAAACATGTTAGATAAGCAGAACCCATGCAGTCGCTGGAATGTTCTTACCGGACCACAGAGCTTTATCTTTCAGCATCCTAGTAGGAGGAGCACTCCTGTTTGGTGGGAAAAGATATGCTGACCATTGAGATACCCATTGCCATTGAGTTGATTCTGACTCATAGCAACCCCTATAGGACATAGTAGAACTGTCTCAGAAGATTTCGAAGGCTGTAATCTTTCTGGAAACAGACTGCCACATTTCTCCAGCAGTGGAGTGGCTGGTGGGTTTGAAGCGCCAATCTTTTGGTTAGCAGACGAGCGCTTAACCATTGTGCCACCAGAGCTCCTGAACATTGAAATAGCACAGGGAAATAGCTCATTCTTTTTATCCAAACCTCCTCTTAGCTACAGAAACCTCCCTGCAGAACTAACTCACTTGTTTTGGTATCTCCCCAGAAGTATACACCTCAGTACAAGAAAACGGAAGTGGAGGGAAGATTCATTAGGCTGAGCACTGCAGAAAGACTATAGCCTGAGTAAGATGCTATAGTACAAATGTAAACATATGTGTTACTAAAGTGTGGGTCCATTAGCAAGCAGCGCCCCCCTCCCCTTTACAGTGCAGCCTGAAGGGGTAGAAGGTGGAAGTTTAAGGACAAACTCAATTCAAAAGTCAATATTCTTAATCTAATTTTCTATATATATCTTAAAATACGGCTGCAACTGAATACAAAGATTGTGTTGTGGTATGTGTTTTCCAAGAATGAAAAGTTCTAAAGTTTTTAGTGAAATCTGACATGGATGTGATGCATTTTAACTTCATTCTTTTTCCCTTGAATCTATTGACTCTCTCAACTCATTTAAGACTCAAAAAAAAGGGCTGTTTTGTTGATTTATTACTGTTGTGGATGTGGGCGTTGGTGTTGTTGAATTAAAGAAAGAGAAAATACTCCTCCTGCAGTGCGTTGAATCTCTTTTATATGGCCTTTCTAGTCATGGTCTTGTAACTCCCACCCAATGATTGAGTGAGACTATGCAAATAAGGTGCTTGTGACCCACCAAGAGGACTGGACAGCTTGCTAATAATGCAGATAAGGTGCATGGCACTCTTGTGGGGGTGGGGCCATGCAAATAAGGTGTATGGAACCCTAAGGAGGGGACTGGTCAGTTTTGCCATCCTGCTAGGCTTAAAATGAGCCATTCCAGAGGCAGAAAGCGGGAAATTCTCTACCATCAAGGAGAAGAGATGGGAGCGGAACACATCCTTTGGACCTAGGGTCCCTGCACTGTAAATTTTCTACACCTAGGAGACGGAGAGAGAGAGAGAGAGTTGTAACACTGTAAGTGGCACAAGATGGCAAGAAGCAGTGGCAGGAGAACCAGGAGACTGGTGTGAGATGATGCAGTGGGCTTCCTGGCCCACGGAGTAAGCCAGTTACAGTGGGTGTGCTGACCCGTGGAGTAAGAGAGCTGAGCACCTTCCGGCAGAGGCTTGCTGGTGAGTACGGTGCCCCCAGGCACTTACTGGAGGAGCTAAAGAGCTTTTGTAACAATTGCTTGAGCAGGGAAGAGGCCGGGCTGAGGGGCCGAGGGATCGAGAGACTGAGGGCCAGAGAGAGGCCTACCTGTGGGCACTGCTGAAGAGAGGCTGTCCTGATCGAAGAACTGTATTCTGAGTCATTCCTGATCCTGAATTTTAACCAGTTACTTCCCTAATAAACCCCATAACTGTGAGTATGGTCTGTGAGTTCTGTGTGGCCATTGCAACGAATTATCAAACCCAGAAAAGGAGTAGAGAGTGCCATGGGAAAGACAGTGGTGTAAAAATTGGTAAAAAGGTTGGTGGGTGGAGGTATGTTTGACCTCCACTTCACAGCAATGAGCCTTGGACTGTTGATGCTGATAATGATTCTCTGTCTTTCCCATTGTGAAGTTAGAGGAGGAGATTCAATGCCCTGACGTGCCATTTTTGCACCTTCCAGTTGTCCTTAGTGGAATACTATACAGAGTTGTAGGCAAAAATTAAAGGAAATGATAGAAATCATTCTAGGCCTACTTAGAGAACTCAACTATATGGAAAGTAAATACATCTGGGAAAAAAAATACCTTCATTTTAATCAACCACTAGTTCATTTTTTAAACCAAGTTTCACTTATGGGAAAGGCAAACTTACTGAACAAGATTTCATTTCCATAATCATAATAATATTAAGTTATAAAACCACACAATACATAGACTTAATAAAAGAAAATTTTAGTTATTCGTCAAACCTCAGCTTGCTAAAATTCTGTTAATCTTGATTCTTCAGTCAACTTTGGATTTCTAACATTGGTTGATGTTACATATGCTGACCTGTTTGTTGTGTGTTTTCCAGCACTCGTGTTAACAAAAGAGAGGTTAAGGACTAGATTTGCCAGTGTAATCTTGTGATTAAAATAGGTGATAAAAAGCAGCTGCGTAAGTGAGATGACTAAATGTAAATATACGCAAAAGCCAGAAACAACAAACAAGCCTTAAAAAGGCTTAGAAATATCTCTTATGTATCTCTTAATTATAGTAAAAGAGACCTATAGGAAATTCATAATAGATACTTCCAGGTTGTGTTTATAAACTGCCCAACTTTGTATTTTCTGTGCAAGAGATTTACACTTGCTAAAATGATGTAGATTTTCATATGTGATCTAACCTTATTTGAAATAATCTCACTACAAGATAATACATGTTTTATGTGAGTTTTATAGATGCCTTTGGATCAGTTTTGCTATTGAAGCAAATGAGATTTATGGCAATTTTTAAGTATAACACAAGAGGTTATAAATGTATTCATAAATTAATATTTTTAAAAAGAGCTATCTATACCTTAAAATGTAATCTTTACAACACATAAGAGACTGAGGATTTACTATAAGCTAAAAGCTAGTAGACAAGAAAAAACTAGACTGAAACTTCTAAGAAGTAGCAACTTTGATTAGAAACATAAAAATTATAAAATATATATGCCACATTTTGAAAAAACTTCAGGTAAAAACTTATGCATATCGTGTTTTTCCCCAATTTTGTGTGTAATAATTCTAAGATATTTTCTATTTGATTTTGACATGTTTTGAATTTTATCTTTAAAAACATCACTTTATTCTTTCACTTAAAAGTGTTTATTAACTTCAGTGCTTTTTAATAATACCTAAGTGTTTATTTAATTTCAGGAAAGCAGAACTAAATACATAAGACCACTCGGGAAAAAAAATACTTTTCCAAAGAATTTCAATCATTTTCAATCACAGGATAATTAATGGTGTTCCAAAAATTATTTAATTTCAGATTTTAAATTCTTCAAAAAATACAGAATTAATTTAAAATAACCTGTAACTGTGAACATAGCATTCTCTCATGAATTGGAAGTTTCTTATAAAATAACTAGCATAACTCATGTTTCACTGACATTGGTTTGCTGCTTTAGTGCTAAATCCATGTAATACTGCCACTCATACTGAGATCATCAATGTACTATCCTTTCCATAAATCATATTATACTACTCAAGCAAAACATTCTGGAAAAAACAAAAAAACCTTACACATTAAACCCATTGTTAATCTTGACTCTATTCACGAGCTTTTAAAATTTATCCCGCTGGACAAGTTTAACTAAAAAAATGCAAAACTCCATTTAGTAATGTTTTACAAGCAAAGAAAAAGGCCGATCTACTTCTTGTGATCTCTGTTATAAATTGCATCGTATCTGTGATATAGCTTTAATTCCATGGAATGAAAATTAAGCTAATATTTTATTACTGCTCCAAAATATTTCTGAATAAGTTATAAAGTTGAGTGATAATGGATAAAGTTTACCTTCCATGTATTCTCATTTGTTTTCTTTAGATTATCTCAATCCATCATTTTGTAAGCATGTATTTATTGCATAAGGACATTTAGTTGGACTTTTTTTTTTTTTTTTAACAATTGATCCACAAAATTTCTTTGTCTTAATTACATTTTTAAAAGTAACACAGAGTTTTAAATTTGACTTTAGAACCTTGGATATCATTACTAATTTATTCATTACATTCTATTAGTTGCTCAGCATTTTTATATCTCATAATAGCATTGTATCCAATTTACCGGCTATAGAATTCAAAAAGAATGAGAGATTGGTTTCAAGGCCATGCAGTTAATCAATAATATAATGCAGATTTTCTGACTCCAGATATATTTCCTTTATAATTTATCTGTTAAATTATGAAACCCATAAGGGTTGTTCTGATGATATTCATGCTGATAAAGAGTTTGTATTGTGTCATCTATTGGTTGAAGTT